TTTCTGACTTACTGATTGTTGACTGTCTGTTGTATGTGTATGTTTTTTAATAGAATTAAGACAGTCTTTCCGCTACTTAGGCCTGGCTGAGCATTGCTGCAGCTGATGTGAAAAAAAAAAAAAGATTAGGAGTTATTTTTGATTTTTCTTTTGTCCTCTCTCCCCACATCCAACACATCAGCAAGTCCCATTGGTTCTGCCTTCACAAGTTATCCTCAGGTTGCTCCCTTATCCACCACCAGCCCTGGTGTCCCTTTAGAACATCTTTCCCCTGCACTCATGGACAAGGCCCCTCCTTGATGTCACAGCTTACATATTCTTTCCCACCATTTGAACATTTTCCATACAGCATCTAGAATGGTCTTGGAAAATAGTGTCAGATCATGTCATTCCCTGCTGAAACCCCTCCAGCGGTTCTTCCATTGCATTTACATAAAATTTAAAGTCTGACCAGAGCCCACAGGGACCTACTTGTTGGGTGAGACCTAGGCCTACCTCTGTAATCTCACCCCACCACCCTCTTCCTGCTGTATTTCATTTGCAGCACTTACCACTACCTGGAACTTTTTATTTTTCTTGTTTACTGTCTGACCTACCACCATTCCCAACCCTCTCACCCCAACCCCTGCATAGAAAGACACCAAGGGGCAGGGGCAGGGGCAGAAATGTGAGTTTGTTCAGCACCATACACCCAGCACTTGAAATATGTGCCTAGCATGCAGAGGTGTGGGATTCGTAGTTTTGAACGAATGGAGGCATAAACTGCTTCTTTATATGGGAATCTACCTCTTGGCCGGTAGTCTTCTTATATCAACCATTTTCATAGCTTTGGCTTATTTATTTATTTGAGACAGAGTTTTGCTCTTGTCACCCAGGCTGGAGTGCAATGGCATGATCTCACAGCAACATCTCCCTCTTGGGTTCAAGTGATTCTCCTGCCTCAGCCTCTCGAGTAGCTGGGACTACAGGTGTGCACCACTATGCTCGGCTAATTTTTTTGTATTTTTAGTAGAGACGGGGTTTCACCATTTTGGCTGGGCTGGTCTCGAACTCCTGACCTCAGGTGATTACCTACCTCTGCCTCCCAAAGTGCTGGGATTACAGGTGTGAGCTACTGCACCCAGCCCAGCTTTGGCTTTTAATTTGCAGATCCAGGGATTTCTTTTGAATACTGGCTCAGCTACAGAAATAGAATCCTTAGCTTTGTAAAAATCAGCCACATTACTTTGTATTTTCAAGAATGTCATGTGGTATACTCCTGAATGATTCCATGAGATAGGTGTAAAGCTGGGTGGAGAAGGGGGGCACATAACATAATTCTTTTTCTTGTAACTGTGTTACAGTGGCATTTGTATTTCCTTGTGATATCTGCCTTCCATGTAAAGGAGGTATTGCTGTAAATCACCAGCAATACATCATAGACAACATTTTCTCTTTAGATAGCCTCTTTACCACTATCCACGAGCAGTAGCTTTTCCCCATCAACTCAGCAGACCTATCCCTGCTGTAGTGATTTCTGGCACTTTCTGAAATCTGAATGATATCGGTGAACTCTCTAGCTTGGTAGCATTTTTTTTCTTCTCGGTTTCCTTCCTTCTCATCCCAATGACCATTTCCCACGAGGAGTTTCAGTCCCTTTGTGACGTTCAGGTTGCCTAACTGTTCATATGTTTCAAGCATTTTTGGTCTCAGTCCAGACTGATCCAAACCAGGTTTCTAAATGCCCTTACTTAGTTTCAAAGGAGTTTGAAATTAGAAATGGAAAGAAAGAGAAAAAAAGTGAAAAATGAGGAGCACTAATAAATGGAAAAAGCTGACTGCTTCTAGACCTAAATGATAAAAGACAAAATTGGAAAAGGCTTTGAGCAATAGGTCCCCTAAAAACATCCAGTTCATGTGACTTAGCCAAGTGGAAATGAACAAGAATAAGAATGTGTCCTTCTCTTCTCTGGTTTCAGATAATTGCAAGATCACATTAAGGGAAGAGAAAGACATGGAGGAAGAGAAAGCAAAGCATCAGGACAGGCTTGAAGGTAGTTTTTGGGAAATAACGTAATATATGTACTGAAATGTGGAACTTAGTGGAAGCAAATAGAACAGAAACCTACTAAGTTTTTAAATGAGGTAAATTGCTGTGAAACCATGAACCTGGAATCAAAGAATTTTCGATTACTGAGTCCTAAAACCAGTTTCAGGCCAGCATACTTGCACCAGAAGGCTGGCTGTTGAAGCTGGGTAACCCCCAAAGGTGGCATTCTCCTCAACATCCACTGTAGATATGGCCATGGTGGATAATGGAAAAGGGAGACCCTTCAAAAGGGAAGAGTCAGAGATCACAGAGGATAGTGACAAAGGAGTCCTTCTCAGAAAACGGAATCAGGGTTGAATATAAGAACTTAGTCTGAGGCCTTCATAATGCCCTCCAAGCAGGATTTCAGAATTACTATGAACCATAATGGCCGATATGTTTTCCTCCTTTTCAAACGAGGGTTTTAATTTACTGATACTCTGTCCCTCCACCACCATCATGTATTGGGTTTGTGTAGAGTAGGGGCTGGATCTGGAGGCAGATGATTTTTCTTTTTAGCTCATAGGTCACTGGACCACCAAGAGACATGATAGAGAATACTGGAACATTGAGCTTTGACCTGGATGTGGTAACAGGATAAGTGTGGAGGAAGAGTGAAACAGGTATTTAGTAACAAGAAGAGCAGACCATGTTAGAGACTGGTGGAGTTGATCAAAGTCTGTTTCCTTTGCCTTCTATGTGCAGAGCTGGCCTACTTCCTTGATGTTAAATGGAGTCATGGGACTCAGTTCTGGCCAATGGAATATGTGGGAATTGAAGTACAATAATTCTGTTTTTGACTCCTGCAAATGTCCTTGAGATCCTCCATGCTGTGGAGGGCTCTGTGGCCTCAGGGATGGCAGAGACACTAGATGGAAGAATCCTGGGTCCCTGCATAATCTTGTGAGGCAGAGGCTCTGACATGCTTTGGAAAATGACATGAGCAGGAAATAAGAAGTAATTGTGTCAAATAATCTAGCAAGCAAATCTTTACTTTATTGAGATTTTGGAATCACCTATTATCACAATTAGTCTACCTTGTTCAATGCAGACATTAAAGCTACTTGCATTGAAACATATAGGGTATGTGTTGGTTTTACCTATTACCCTCCAATTTTTTTTCACCAAATAATTGTAGAAGACTGATATGGTTTGGCTGTGTCCTCATTTAAACCTTAACTTCAGTTGTATCTACCAGAATTCCCACATGTTGTGAGAAGGACCCAGGGGGAGGTAATTGAATCATGGAGGCTGGTCTTTCCCATGCTATTCTGGTGATATTGAACAACAAGATCTCATGGGTTTATCAGAGGTTTCTGCTTTTGCCTCTTTCTCATTCTCTTTTGCTGCTGCCATGTAAGAAGTGCCTTTCGCCCTCCACCATGATTATGAGACCTCACCAGCCATGTGGAACTGTAAGTCCAATTAAACCTCCTTTTTCTTCCCAGTCTAAGGTATGTCTTTATCAGTAGTGTAAAAATGAACTCGTATAAAGACCTTTGTGGCTAAACCTCTACTTTTGATTGAGTCTGAATTTTCTCTTATGGCCCACATTGTTCTTTTTTTCTGAAGTTAGTCAGTCACCAAGTATTACTGAGTGTCTAAACTCAGATCAACTACTTACTAGCTGTGTGACCTTAAGCACGTGTTAGCTTGTTTGTGCCTCAGTTTCCATAAAATGGATATAATAATAGTACTTATCTTGGGTTTTTGTGAAAATTAAGTAATTTAATCAATACATAGTGCTTAGCAGAGCAGCTGGCACATAGTAAGTGCTCAATAAATGTTATAACATCATTGTCATTATCATCATCATCATCAGTTGCTAGGTATGTGCTTGGCACTACAAACAGCACTGAATGAGATATACAAGATTTGGTCTTCTGTGAGATGTCTGCTTATTTCAGGAGCCTTATTTTTGATCTTGTCCTTGTTCAGCATAGTCTCTATCAAATACTTAATTTGAAGAGAAGGATTTTGCCTCCCTCTAATCAACTCCAGGAAACACTGATTACAGTTGAAGATGTTCTCTGTCTAGCTGAGTGTTCTGAGTAAGTATCCATGTTCTGTTTAGAGGCTGTGAGTGCAGTATTTGTCTGTACTTTGTGGCAATTGGAGTGGGAGGAATAGAGGAAGGTTAGCATCCCCGTTGGTGGAAGGAACTACTTTCTGATCAGAGCCACTTCCTGCTTGGATTGGCTTCCTTCCAGCCACTTCCTACTTAGAATGCTAAGATAAAAGCAGCTGCCACTGTACCTAGAGAAGAACACTTTCCTTCTTTTTCTGTCCCTGTTCTCAAGGTCCACTGCCTAGCCATCTCACTTCTGATGGTGTACGGGCAACACTTGCAAGACCCAACAGGTTTAGAATCCTTTCCCTTCTTTATTAACCCATGAGAACAGAGGATGAACTTAAACAAGCGATGGCCTCATCCAGCCCCCACTCCATGCACTGAGATGCCTGATGTACCTGGACGCCTGAGTTAATGTCCTTGTGCTCATGCTGCTGGTGTGTGTCATCTCCCTATCACACACCCTTCAGTGATGCTAACCAGGCAGGCACACCCGCTTGTCTTGGCATGTTTTATGACGACCCAAGCTGCAAATATCAACATGTATAAGGCATATGCTCTCTTCTTTGTGTAATTTCAGGCACCAAAATATGCCTACACAGAGGGGTATGTGCATACAGACACATGCGTATTCTTTTTTTGCCTGGTAGAAATATACTTCTGTGATGTTCCTTCAACTCCCACACATGCCCCTCCATGGCTGGCACATCTCCTAATTATTCCCATCTACTCCCTCCCATAGACCTTTTGTGTGTATATTTTGGCATACATTTTCTTGGTTCCGCCTAGTTCCTTTCTCTCTTTCTTTCTCTACGTCCCTCCCTCTCCCTCCTCTTCACAGCTTTTAGGAAAATTTGTTAAACTATACACTCTTTATTATTAGTGTACATTTATGAAAAATTCTTCACAGTTACAAAAGTGCATGGTTATAAAATCATCTCCATACAAAGGTTGGCATCTTCCCTCTAACCCCCCCCCCCCCCCCCCCCCCCCCCCCCCGCGCAGCCCTCCCACCCCCAGACATTAGCACATTACAGGACAGTGCTTAGAAAAACTGAGAGCTCTGTGGATCCAGCTCTCCACCCAGTGCTGTGACAAACACAATAGCGATTTACAAAGGACTGTGTGACTCCTTCATTTCCCTTTTGCCTCTTCCTGGGGTGGGGAAGAGCAGACAATTTTCTCTGGCTTTAGGAAGATGTCCTTTTGAGGAATGGATTAGGATGTATCATTTTACTCCTCTACTGCTGAAAAGGATGTCAGCAAAGACACCTATAGGGGGAAATGGAAGCTGGGAGGTCTTCCCTTAGGGTTGAAGACAAACACCTGTCTTGATCTGTTCAAATTTCATACATGTACCTCCCTGAAAGGAGCCATGAACTTCTATAGCAACTCTGGGTTCCTATTTCTACAAAGTTCCCTAGGAATTCCTCTAGGAATGGGGAAAGAGAGATGAGGGTTTGTCTAAAGGGGGACCAGAGATAACTGGTCCAAAGTGGTGTGATTCAGATATAAGGGCTCTTCTAAAAAGGAATTTTCTTGGCCCAAACCTTGACCAAGCTAAACTTTGATATCCTCTGGTCGAGCACGGAGGAAGCTTCTGCAATGAGGACTTCTCTGAGGGGCAGGAGAGAACAGAGGGAAGCAGCCAGAAGTCAGCTTCTCCTATGGATGACCCTGCCACAGATTTTTTCTCCTTCTGTATTTTCTGAGCATCCAGTCCTATCCTAAACCTGGTGGGGTTCCATCTTAATCTGTCAAGCAATGTAATATTAAGTTAGTGCAAAAGTAATTGCAGGTTTTGCTATCACTTTTAATGGCAAAAGCCACAATTACTTTTGCACCAACCTAAATAAGCAGATGGCTCAGTGGACGATGTCAGAGAACTGAACCCAAATTCTAGAGAGATCTGTCCTATGTCAGCAGACCACCAACATACAAGGAACCTCACAGACAGACATACAGATGCAGAGATACTCCATCGCATACATATTAACCAGTTTGGACAATTTGAATGAAGCCTTGTGGTTACCAGGGATGTGGGAGCAATTGCAATGAGGATTGCTAGATTATCTTTAGAAGCTTGCTTCTCATAGCTTGGACAAGCTGACGGCAGTGGGGGAGAAGCAGGGAATTCCTTGGCAGTAGGTGGGTTGAATACTTTTCTCATTATGCTCTAGTAAACTGGGGCGCTTTTAGCAGCAGGAGAAACATCTGTCCTTTAAAACCCATGTATCCTGCTCAGAAAGGTTTGGCATTAATGGAGACCAGATTGTCCCACTAGAAAGGACAGTTGATGTCAAGGGGGCATTTGGTATCTTTTCTGGTTCTAGTCCTATGCAAAAAAAGTATCTATCTTAAAATATATCAACTATATTTTGGCAAACAGTAGTTCCTAGGAGACTATTATAGTATATGGTATCCCTCTATGGGCAGCTTTTCTATTTTGTCAGGATTATAGTTTCTAAAAGTTCCTCTCCAGGTATTTAGGCTGTCAGCCTGGCTTGTCAGAAAACAGCTTGAGTTCGCCATCCTTGGTCATCACAGAAGAGAGCAGGGCACAGTTCTGCTTCGGATATCAGACGTTGTAAGCAAGATTCAGGGGACACACGTTCAAGTACCTCAGGTCTAGCAGAGTTTCTGAAGACTCTTTTGGTTGACTAGCTCAGGCAAGCACAGGGATGCCTTCCTGGAAGATGGCATGTTATCCTCCTTCATTCCTTTGAGGCTTTCCAGGAGGATGGGATGATGGAATACTACTGGAGCTTGGGGCAAGGGAGGTGGAAAGCCCCTGTTTTAATTCTCCTCCTGGCCAGACTTATCAGCATGTCTGACTGTGCCTTAATGCTTTTCTCCTAAACTGCAGAGGCTCTCACCTGTAGCTTTCTTGCTCTTTTAGTATCTCTTGCAACACACACAGCAGGGCTTGAGTAGGAAGGGTTAACACAGCTTCCTCTCTTGATTCCCAAAGATCTAATTTTTCATGCGACTGCCTCCATGGCCACCAGTGCTGATGTTTTGTCTACCCGTTGTAAAGCAGAAGTCTCCTATTCAGATGTTATTTGTGTAATCTCTGTTTCAGAGCCTGTAATTTGCCCTACTGGGAGCATAGTTCAATCTGTACAGCAGATGGGTTGACTGTCTTCTATTTAGCTGACCTACTAGCACATTCACGGCTGCTGAATTCCAGGGCCCTATTACCCAGCCCTCTGAGGCATTCTCTTCCCCAAGCACTTGGGAAAGCACTGGAAAGAGAACCGTGTAGGGTTGAGTCCCAACCTTGCCACATAGACAAGTCATATCCAGCCTTGAGACTGTTTTTCCCATCTGTAAAACAAGATTACTGACGTTTGATTTACCTCCTGCACAGAGTTGTGAAAAGTCACGGAGACGAAGCGAAAACACTCATGAACTCTCCGGTGCCGAACGAATAGAGGGAAGATAATGATGATGCTGACGAAACTGACGAAGAAGACAACGGTGATGGTAATTGTGCTTTGCTCGTAAAGTTACTTGATTTTTGACTGACTGATTAGATGCAGTTTCCCTGAATGGAGCTGCCTACCACCATCCTTCTAGGGCTCATCCAGACAACTTTGGATAAGTCACTCAACTCTCCATGATTAATTCATCTGTCAAATGGGGATAATAAAAACCACCAGGCAGTGTTGCTGGAAGAATTGAAAGAAGCAAGTCAGTAGCTATCAAAGTGCCCAGAGGAGTGCCTGGACCTTATTAGAAGCTTTGTCGTCTCTAGTTGAATTTGAATTTGTACAACTCAAGAGGGAATGGTGATGTTCCCCAACTTGGATGGGGCAGTACAAACAGCACAGACTTTATCTTGCTCATAGTGGCATGTGACTTTCACCTCGCTGAGCCTTAATTGCCTCATCTGTAAAATGGGAACAACAGCATTCAGCTCAATCTGTGTGTGTGTTAAAGGGAATGGTTTGTGGAGAGAGCTTTTCACAGTGCCTGACACTGACGAAGGGTCAGTATTTAACAGCTCTCTCGCCCTTATGCTTATGTGGGTGAGTTGCTTAGAAGAAAATGCAAAGCCTCATATGGTCGTAACTGTGCTGCTTTTGTCCTCTTTAAGCTCTGGGTACTGCCAAGCCATGGGCCATTGGCCCACAGTGCACTTTCCTGGTGAGACCCTGTGGCATGAGCACTGTGGCAAGAACGGTCACATGATGAGGGTCCCAGGATGCCGGGACGCTTGCTGCCCCAGTTGCGGGGCCTCCTGCCTCTCTCTTCTGAAGCCAATCATGAGTAAGAGGCAGGAGAAAGGGCGCTGAAAGTGTCCATCCTCAGCCTGCTGCCTGGGACCTCACCAGCCGGTGACACTTGGTCATATGGGGGCAGTCACTGGGAGGTGGTCTCACCTGGTAGCTGCTGGTGGAAGGAGGCCAGGGGCTGGCATGGAGGTGTTCGTACTCCCCGGAGGCAGTGGCTGATTGCCAAGAGCGGACCGTTTTGGTGTCAGAGGGTGGGGAGTAGGTTTGAGTTCTGTGCCACACCCCCTCTACACAAGTTTGTGACCAGGAACTGCTCATCTTCTCAACACCACGCACTATGCATACTCTGGCCTCTGCCATCTGCAGACACCCTTTGTTGCCTACCTGACAAAGTAGACATTTCTTGGTGACCCAGTTCACAAATCACTCCACCCTTATAATTCTCATGGACATGGCTAGATACAGATGATGCTTCCTACTGGGCGTCCATAATGATGTGCTCAGAGTCCTGACATATAGTCTTAAAGGGAATAGTTTTTGGATCTCTCTCCTTGACTAGAGGTAATTGCCTTGAGGGCAGGGACTGAGTCAATTCATCTGACGTTCCCAGTTCCTAGCGCACCAGCTGGCCCAAAGCAGACATGCATACAAAGTGAGTGTCCCCACCTTGCTTGAGCCATGACTGAGGCAGCCAGGTCACTGTGGAACCAGAGTGGGCAGTCAGGGAGGGCGTCTGGTGGTCAGCGGCTGTGGCGGTCAGCAGCATGGAGGGATGAGAGGCAGCCATGTCAGATCTCTTCCTCTTCACTGGCCTTGCTCCAGCGGTGGCAGCAGTTGGCGGTGATGCCCAGGAGGAAGTTGGTGGCCACAGAGGCGATGGACACCACGAAGCCCACGAATGCAATGAACAGGTAATCATCCAGGGTCAGGGTCACGTGGCAGGCCTTGAAGCTCTCCTCGGTGAGTGAGAAGAGTGGGGCGCCCTCAACTTCAGGGGGTCCCCGGCACTCAGCCAGCTGAGAATCTGTAACACAGAAGCCAGGGAGGGTGAGGTACCCAGAGAGGGAGAGGGGATTGGAGAACCCCTTAACCCCAACTGCTCCCTGGAAAAAGGAAGGAAGACATTCACTGCGGTTCTTCCGTGTGCTAAGAATCCTATAATCTTTAGTTCCCTCAACAACTCTCAAGGCAAGGATTTTTATGTCTATTTCTACAGATGTGGAAAGCACTGTTTGAAGAGCTCAGCAATTTGCTGAAAGTCATATGGCTTTGACCCGTGGTAGGTCTGGGGACACCATCGTCTCTTACCATAACCTCCCGACTGCTTTCTGGGCTTCTGAAGGTGTCTGCCCTCAACCTGCAGCCTGGAACCTCACCAGCAGGTGACAAACCATTTCAATACAGTTGGCTGAGTGGTTCTTTCAAGCCTGAAGTCCTGGCATGTCTTCTCTACTTGAAACCCTTCCTTGGCTTCCTGTCTTTGAATGACGCAAAAGCCAAGGTGCTCCCCGTGGGCTCCAGGGACTCTTGCCCAGCTCTCTGACTCTGTTCCTCATTTACTCTGCTCCAGCCACATATACCTCCTAGTTATTCTTCCACATTCCCAGAGTGTCCCCTCAAGAGGTGGGGAAGGGATGCTTTTGCATTTGTCCCTTTGGGAGGGAGTTACTCCCCTTGACCTCTGCACAGCTCAGCCCCCCAGTTTCTTTGTGACTTGGCTCAATGCCACATCATTAGTGAGGCCTTCCCTCTTTATGACTCTAAATAGCACCCCCACTTCACCTCCCCCTGGGCTCCAAATCTTAGCTGCTCTCCTCTATAGTATTTTTCTATGTAGTGTTGATCACTGCCTGAAAGTTCATTGGTTTCTTTCCTGTCTCCTCCCCTTTTCATATAAGCTCCTCCACAGAATCTTTAGCGTGAAAATAGTGTCCTTTCTATAGTAAGTGCTTGATGAATCTTTACAACATGAATACAAGACTCTGCCCAACTCCAAAGCATTGGGTCTTTCTACTACTTATGTGGCTTTTCTGGATACACAGAGTATAGGGTTAAAAGTATGGATTCTGGAGCTATTGGTCTGGTTTCAAATCCCCTCTCACCCCTTGCTAGTTGCACGGTTACGGGTAAGTTCTTTAACCTCTCTGTGTCTTGGCTTCTTCATTTGTCAAATGAGGATAATAACAGTATCTACTTCTTAGGCTTGTAGTGAGGGTTCAGTGAGTTGACATAGATGAGTTATATGTTATATATTAGTGTAATATATGTAATGTATAATATATATTTCAATTATATAAATTATTATATTGGTTAGTTTCTCCAGACAGATCATTGGGGGTCATAGTCTGCACTCAGGCTTCTGAGGGAGGGGGCTGCTTTTTCCTGGTGGGGTTACTGTTATCTCCACCCTTGATGATCTCACCTCATCCTTCTGGGGTTGCTTTTATGAATGCACAATGGCTGTTAATGGGCTTATCTCACTCTGCCTGGGAAGTAAGGGTAGTGTGCAGGTGGCACTCCTGCCATGCAGCGCTAGGCACTGGCTTTCCTGCAGCCAGTCATTCCTTTGTTCAGTGGAATAAGTATTAATTAAGCTCTTACCTTGGGTAAGTCTTTTTTCTTTTGGTATTTCTGGCTCTCATGCTCTGCCTCTATAAGAAGGGGCCTCTATAAGAAGGGGATAATCCAATCTAAATTTCCTGAGAGTCAATAAGAAGACATTTTCTAAGTTATGCATTGTATAAATGCTATGTATTTATTCTGCAGTTTTTGAGGGCAAGGAATCAAATGATGGATTTGGATTGACCCTTTTGAGAACTGAATCAGCATCAATATCCTTGGAAATGGGGAGTCAGGTTTGGAAGGAGAACACAATCTTCCCCAAATCCCAGGTTGAGTGGTCCCTGGAGGCTGTGACTCCAGGACCTGTGCCCTGCTCAGGCCTGGATCCTGTCTGGGGTTGACTCACATGACTTCTCCTCTGGAAATCTGAAGAGGCTGAACTCTAAAGTCTATTATGTATGTGAAGCTGGCAGTGCTGAGACAGTGAGATGGGGAATGTGGCGATACTCATATGGACCAGCCAGAGGAGCCCCTGACAGTCATCGGTGGGACCACAGAGGACACAGGATGGGAACGTGGAGGCTGACAAAGCTCACTGGTAAGTCAAGGCACCAGTCTTAAAGCCATGCTGTATCCCGGGGGCTTGCTTATGGACCTCTTTGCTCAATTTTTCCAAAAACCATGGATAGTAGTGGAGTTCCACGAAGAAAAATGGAGAAAGCAGCTGAAAGGACCTAAAGGGAGGAACATCACCTGGTTCTGCCCACACTGGCAAGTTTTTGTCACTAAGAAGAAGCACCCTGGTGAGTATGGCCTGATGTAAAGTGTGTTCTGTGGAGGAGCAGGGAACCTGAGTTTCCAGCTGGGCCTACTTGCTTTGTCATCATGAGCCTGTGGACACCCACTGTCCCCCTCTGGAGCTCAGGTTCCTCACCTGTACCGATGTGTGAGGCTACATTGATGAAATCTTGGATGCCTCTCCTGTTTTCTGTGAGTCTGAGCTTCTGCAGGGCAGCAGGGACCTCAGAGATCACAGAAAAGGAGTCCCTGGGTGTGGTGGAAGCTGAGTGCTTCGGTGCCCTTTCTGTTATTAGAGCACAGGACAGAGAGGGAAGGCATGGCCTGCAGAAGTAGAGCAAGTGGGGATACTGCTCCAGGCAGCCTCCCTCTCCTGCCCTCCACCATCGCCCCAACCCAGTCCCCAGCTATTTTGGTGCCAGACAATTTCCTCCTACAGCTCCGTGGAAACACTGGAATCGTGACCCACAGCCCTCCCCAAACTATTTTGGTCTTGGGCTCCCCACTCAGTCCTCCTCCCCTTGTTACCGCATTCGGCATTGCTTCTTCTCAGCACGTGCTGAGCTCAGGCTCTGGGAAAGCCCTGGGGTAGGGCCTTCAGCTACTACTTCTAGTGCTTGTGCCAAGTCTTGGCGCTGTCACACAGGAGAGCTGGTGGCTAGGGCTGCAGCTGAACATCGCCTGCCTCTGGGTCAGGCTCACATGCCACTGGGTTGAGACAACCATCAAAACCTGTGTGATTTGGGCTCCTTCAGGCCCCAGTCCACCCTCTGGTTGGGACTGGCTGGCTGAGTTGCCTCATCGCAGTGTTCCTCTCAGCTCCCTATCCTGTGTCCAGGGTTTACACGGCTCAGAGCCTTGAATTTGAGGAAGGCCAGGTTCTCATAGCTGAGGTCCAGGTCTTGAAGCTGCATGAGGTCCTAGAACTCTACTGCAGCCCTTTGGCCAGTCCAGGACTCAGGCTCTGACTCTTCTGGTAGGCCAGAACCTGACTCTTCAGGATACAGTCGGGGAGACTGCCAGGACTCAAATCCTGGCTTCAACACTTAGCAGCTGTGTACCTTCAGATGAGCTACTGAACCTCTCTGTGCCTGTTTCCTCCTCTGTAGAGCAGGGACCTCATTAGCGTTCTTCTGAAGATAGGGAGAGATAGGTAAAGGTGCTTAAGAGAGGGCCTGGTAAAGAGTAAGTACTAAGGTCTCAGGTTCCTCCTGGAGTGTGTTGGTTCCATGGGACTGAAGTTGTAGCTCTGTTGAGACTGAGTTAGCCATTACTATTTATACGAGAGTTTTCCAACACATGGAATGCTAAAAAAGCAGTGTGGTAGAATAGAACAGGGCTTAGAAGTCAGATACATCTAGGTTTTATTCATGGTCCTGACGCTTTTTGATTTTTATATTTGTATTGTTTTTTTCATGGCCCTGCCACTTTCTAAGTGCGTGATTCTAGTCAAGCCTTTTTATTGTTCTAAACCTCAGTTTATTCACCTGGAAATGAGTATAATAAAAACGGGGGTCCCCTAAGATCATGCGTGCTAAGATCTTGGGTCACAGTGAAAGCTCAATCAGAACCACCCCGGATGAGCTATTCCCACCTGTTTACTACCTGTCTGCCTCATTAGGTCATGAGCACTGCAGCGGTGAGGGACATCTATTTCATGAATGAATGGACCCTTAGTGCCTCACCATGTATTGCAAGGATTCGACAAACAACCTGTTGACGGAGCTGGTATACAAAGAGGCAGGCCCACATTACAAAACACAGTAGGTGCTTTCTGGCTCTACATCCCTCCCCTTTCTTTGGAGCTTATGCTTCCACTGAGGCAAGCCCTCCCTGTTGACTGCCCCCTCCTGCCCTACCCCCATTACCTGCTGTACAGCGCTGGATCCGGTTTCGCAGCCACTTCAGCAGAGGCTCCATGGTGCAGCCGCACACCCAGGGATTGCCGCCGATCTGCAGGGTCACCAGCCCCGGTAGACCCTCAAGAGCCTCGAGGCTGAGGAAGGCCAGGCCCCCATAGCTGAGGTCCAGGTCTCGGAGCTGCACGAGGCCTTGGAAGGCGTGGGGGTGTACCCTCCGCAGCCAGGGGTTGTGGCTCAGGTCGATGTGGACCAGCCCATGAGCCTCCTGGAACATGTCGGCCGGCACGTGGCTGAAGTTGTTATAGCTCAGATCCAGGTGTGCCAAGCGTTTGGCATGGAGGAAGAGGCCCCGGGGCAGCTCCATCAAGGAGTTGTTGCGCAAATCCAGCACCCGGAGCTCCATGTAGCATGTGAGGTAGCCAGGCGGCACCGCTGTAATGCGGTTGTGGGCCAGGCTGAGGTTGCGGGTGTCCATTGGCAGGTCTGGGGGCACGGAGAATAGCCGCTGGCTGCTGCAATCCACCACCTGGTTACGGCATGTGCAAAGGACTGGGCAGCTGGTGCCAGCATCCGAGTGCATCAACCCGGCTGCCAGGAGGAGAGAGATCAGCAGCATCGCTGGGTGGGGTGGCCCGGGCCAGGGAAGCTGGGCCCAAGTGTCACCCATCTTAGGCAGCTGGCAACAGCAGTGCTGGAGGGAGCCCATGAGGACCGTGTTCACGGAATTGAGAGTCTGTGACACAGGAAGGCAGCTACATCAGGGGCCGGTGTCTACGAAGGTGGGGCTTCTGAGCATGTGGTATCATGGCTAGAGACTTTCCCAGGAGCCTCTGAGCACCAGAGGGCTTCCTGAGATCCACGGGTGGTCCCCTTCTGGAGCCTAGGGGGCAAGAAACCCCATCGAGGTCCCCCAGGGTCTGGAATGATGATCAAAACCTGAGAGAGGGAGGGGACAGGATGGGGCTGGGTCAGCTGCCAGCAGGTCCTGGAAGAGTTCCCGCAGATGCTTTGTGTCCCTCTCACCCATGCCTGCTGGACGTTCCCTCTTGGTGCTGCCTCTGGGAGGGAGGGGCTGAAGGAGATGAAAGGTGCCCTTTAAAGATCCTTGGCACTTCTTCTAAGAAAACTTAAGTCCTGTCCCATGTCTGGGACTGATCAGGAAGCCAGGGCTGCACCTGGGTCTCCAGTGTTGAAGGTCTCAGAGGCCATTTGTCCTGGTGGCCTGGTGGGCTTGAGTCCAAGGGGGTCCCAGGGTGGGTGTTTTGGGAAGAGAGCCTGGGAGGAAGTGAGTCTCCATGAGCCTCCTCAGCCTCAGTGGCTGCTGTAATCCCCAGGGAGCCTCTTTGTTCCCCAAAGAGAGGAGGACCCCAGGTGATGCCCACTGTCTGGGCCTCTGGGGCCAGAAGAAGCCATGAGTCCTGAAGGTGCAGGCTGGTTTGGCAACTTCTCCAAGTCAGCGCCTTCCTCAGCACAGCTCTGTATTCAGCAGGTGGAGGCCGAATTCCCTCTGTCAACAAGGAAAGCACTTAGGCAGAGAAATCCTGTGCCCTGCACACCCCCTTGTCCCTTCACCTAGGACACTTGTCTTATCTCTGTCTCTTTCTTTCCTCCCTTCTTTGGTCCCCCAGCCACAAAGTTCTCTGCTGACTGTCTCTCAGGTGTGGGCCATGGCAGGTTGATACCCCACGCTCACATTGCTGTCACCCACGAGCCCTCCCTGACCCAACCTGCAGCCCTTCTCCTCTGGGTTTCTTTCTTGGGTTAAATGGATTTTCTTCTTCTTATAACCCCGCCCCCATCAGTACCAAACAGGCCACCCTGGAACAACTCCCCAAGGAAAACATGCATCCACACTCTGGGGGTTTGCACACCCCTTTCAAACACTCTAAGCGCTCCTGTCTCCTCTTACACACACACACACACACACACACACACACACACACACACAGAGGCGCGCACACACCATTCTTCTGTGACTCCCCCACATTTTGCCCGGCCCCGCGCTCACGCCCGGCGGTTTTCGCTCCAGCTTCCTTCTAAACAGGCGATGCTGCAGACCCCTCCCCAGTCGACCCCCAGCATCTCTCCCCCGCCCCCCCCGAGCGCACACCCCTCATCGCAGCACCCCTTTCCACACGCTGAACCCCCCAGCAGAGCGACCGAGAGTGATGCCACGCCCAGAGCCTCAGCCCTCGCGCCCGTGCCCCGCGCCCTCTCGCGCCTCCCCTGCCCACCTGCTGTGCTCGGTCCTCCCCTCACCCTCGGTCTGGCTATTTTCCTACCACTTGGAGCCTCAATCCCGCCCACCGGGAAATCACCCCAGCTCCCCTTCATGCAGACTCATTTTCCGGAGCCCCAGGTCTCCCCCTGCACTCCCACAGGCCCCTTGAGCCTACTCACTCCGTTCCAAGGACGCAGCCACCAATCTGCCGCAGGCAGGCGCGGGTCTCCCTCCCTCCTCCTGGAATCCCCGCTCGCTCCCTGCTAGCTTCAGAACAGATTGCCTCCCCGGCTCTTCCCCTCCCCCGGCCTCTCCTCCTCCTCGTCTCCCGGATCCCTGGCCAGCATCTTCCTTGATTTCCCGTCCTGTGGTCCCCTTGCCCCTTCTTTCACCCCAAAGGAAAATCGCAGAGAAAGGATGCCTGGAAGAAAGTTCACAGAATCCAAATGCTCCTTTCTGAAACTCAGCTAGTGCCCAGGCTGCTGGGGTATAAGGCTTCTGCCAGGGCCAGGTCTTTCCCCTCCCTCCCCCCTTCCCGCCCTCTCCCTCTCCCTCCCTGCCTCCTTCCCCCTCTTCTCTCTCTTTTTCACTCCCCTTTTTTCCTCGAGGGCCAGGTACTGACGTTTCACTGTCTCTTAGCAACTGCCTCCACATCTCTGAGCAACAGGAGAACTGGCTGTGGACCCCACCACGAAGAGAGAGGAGAGAAGGAAGCACCCGGCAGAATTCACAGCCTCCCACAGGATCCTGAGGATAGGGCGAGGGGAAGAAGGGGAGATGAGGGTGGGCAACTGGACGGGAGCAGAGAAAGAGGAGCAGGCAGGGAGACAGGGTTAAAAGGCCCAGTGGGAGAGGTTGTAGTAGGGGCAAGCCGTGGACCTGGAATTGGAGACAGAGGAGGGACAGCCTAAGGACATTAGACCCAGAAGGAAAAGCTAAGACGGCTTGCAGTGAAAGGAGAAAGGGACTTAGTGGAGGATGTGTGGGGTGGGTGGGGAGTGAAGAATGGGGGCATTGAAGACAGGAATAAGCATGGAAACAAAAAAGACATGCGCATATGACAAGTTTGCTCGTTGATGGGATATATCTTTGTGGTGGCCACATAAAGTCTACTTAACCTGGGTTGGAATGTATTTGGGGCTCCAGGTACCAGGTGATTGACTCAGGGCTTGTTAGAGGCTGTTATCACAGGAGAGACCTTTTTTATGTTCCATGATTGTCCCTAAGTCCTGACCCCATGGGCTCTCTGTGGCTAGGAGGCCTGGCTGGAGTATACCAATTTCCCCTTGGCTTGGGGTATGAGAAACTTTGGAATCCAAAAGGCCAACTTCTTGGCCAGGTGGGAGCACCTGGGGCTGTACAGGCACTTGGATCTGTCAAGGGGAAAGGAAGCTTGTGATCCTTTCTTCTTTCTCCAGGCCCAAGGGATTCTGTCTGTTGTCTTGTTACCATCCTTTCAAGCTTTCTTGGAGCAACTTCAGATGAGGATGAAATTTGTGCAGTCTCCCTTTTCTCACTGACCCATGGAACAAGTCTCTAGCTGTCCTGCACTTTAAAAATTGTCTTGACCAGTTGTTTTTCTCAAAGAGCTGGCTTAATTCTTTGCTTAATAAATATTTATTAAGTATTCACTCTATGCTGGGTACTTGGCCAGATGGTGGGCAAGAAGATGGACGTAGACTCCTCCTTCATGGTGCTGCTTCATTCGGTTGACCTGGGCTTCTTGCATTGAAGTAACAGCTTAGGTCTTTGGGGGGAACCAAAACGGAGTAATAGGAAACAAGAAGTGTGAAGTTATACAGAATCTGGGCATTTATAAAGTTCTTCAAATCACGGTCGTTGTCTTCTCTAACATGATTCTTTTTCCTATGTGCCTGTAAACGTCAGTTCCCTCTGTGTTCTCTCAGATACTCATTTTGAATCTTTCATCTTCTCTAGTCTCTGACACAGTGTAACGTGGCAGCCACTCCATATTTATATATCGAGTTGACTTAGGTAAATGAGATTTCACCCCCTGCTTTAAAAAGGCAGTGTTTGTTCTATCTCATTTATAAGTTTAGAAGGAAAATGTTAATCTTAACCCAGAAAACGCAACACAATGAAACAAGTAATCTATTCTAACTGCGGACTGTTGGCCTCCAGAAGGCAAAGCTAGGGACCTATGTTATTAATATTAACTGAAAAATGGTAGAAAACATGATTATCTGGTTGGATTATTTCCCCTTCCTCCCTATTCTCAGGTCATTTACCTCCTCTTCTTAAAAAAGCTATTCAGCACAATTCAATTTTAGTGTTGACTAAAGGTGACTTATGAAGATTTTCTTCCTTTACATGATATGAAGTTTATATTTAAAATTAGGATTAATAGTATAACTAAAGAAAAATATTAGTGACTGTTTTCCTTAAAAAAATAGGATCTAGGTAAGAACACTTCATCACCATTTGCAACTCAGTTTTCTGACCTTTGACATAGGGATGATGGCACCTAAGTCACAGGGTTGTTAGGTATATGAGCTATTATAAATAAAACACTTAGAGCACTATACAGTGAGCAGTACAGATGGTTTATCAAATGGACAAATAAAGTAAAATAAATAAATACCAGAGTATAAAATCTCTGAAATAGTAATGCAGAAAGAAAAACAAATAAATTGCTCAACAAATAAAAAGTCAAGAAAGGAAAATATTACATTTGCGGGTGATTTGAGTGTATTCTTGTGCAAATGAGTTGCAAAACCTTCAGAAACCCCTAATTCAAGAACATTATCATTGCATGTATCTTCTGTAAAAGTGAGGTTCGATGAGACAGAAATATTTTATATGACTTTTTACCTTTAATCATTTTATGAATCATTATGGGATTTTATGAATTTCAAATTGGTGTCCCAAGGTACACTATGTGCCATGAGGTTCTTAAATAAGTTTGAGAAACACTGAGTTAAACGAAATGAAACGAGTTTATTTATTGTAAGATTTCTCAGAGGCTTTAATGTGTAAATGGTTAGGGCCAGTCTACAAGTGACAGCATTGGGGAATAGGGATATGTGATATCCAGCATTTCCTAAACTTATTTGGGATCTGTAATTTTCTTTTATCTTCTGCTCTCCCTCCCCTGTTGCGTTTCCCTCTCCCCTTCCTCCCTATTCTCAGTTCTTTTACCTCCTCTTCCTTCTTTTTGTCAGAACCATTAATATTGGGAACAGTTTTTGGTGAGCATGGTTTCGGAAATATAAATAAAATTTATTATAGACTATCCCTTGCTTAAATATCTTTAGTAATAGCAGTTGGCTTTCATAGAGGTCATTATATATTTTTTTACACAAAGAAAAAATGTGTATCACTTTATGAAAGTTACTAGATATGAAGATAATAAATTCAATGAGTTCACTCAATGAATTCACGTTGAGACACCCATACTGGGTGGTTGGCTGTTTCCCCTTGCAAAATGACTTTTTCCTGCACTGCATTCTTGCAGTGAGAGTGATTCTATTTTGAGCCCCAGCAAAATGATAAATGATTATGTACCATGGCCTGTTGGGGTCTCTTGCAAGTTACTGAAAATGTGATTGTTCAATCCATGATTGTCAAGGATTTATTCTACTGGGAAAATACACAGAAATCAATCAAAAAGTTGTACAAATGAAATGAGTTGAAAAATAATTTTCATTACTATGATTTCCCGAGTATGTGCTAAATTAGTTTTAACAATGGCAGAAAACCTTTAAATACGTGAGAATTAATTTAATCTACCACATAAGAAATTCATTCAAGGAAAATTATGAAATCTTAATAGAATGAATATAGAGGAAGAAATGGAAAAAGCTAATCTCTCTAGCTGCCGGGAAAGGGGAAAAATAACAAAGATGACTTTGCTTTCTTCATTATCATAGCTTAATAAAGTATGTGGTAAACTGGTCATAAGAACCATCTGGGGGAAGAACTGGCAAGAAAATGCACAGATCATGTTAATAAGATGATGCTGCTGCTGATGATGGGAAGTACTTCAAAGTAATGATGATGAACTCATCTAACTAAAAGATTAAAAAAAATTTGCAAACTAAAAATCACTTGATGACCTTACTAAATATTTGCACTTTCTATTCACAATAGCAAAGACATAAAATCAACCTAAATGCCCATCAACAATAAACTGGACAAAGAAAGTGTGGTACATATATGCTATGGAATGCTATGAAGTCACAAAAAAGAATGAGATCATGTCCTTTACAGGGACATGGATGGAGCTGGAGGCCATTATGCTTAGCAAACCAATGCAGGAACAGAAAACCAAATACTGCGTGTTCTCACTTAAAAGTGAGAGCTAAGTGATAAGAACACATGGACATATAGAGGGGAGCAGCACACACTGGGACCTATAAGGGGGTGGAAGTGGGGAGGAGGAGAGGATCAGGAAAAATAACAATGAGTACTAGGCTTAATACCTGGGAGCTGAAATAATCTGTACAACAAACCCCCATAACACAAGTTTACCTATGTAACAAACTTGCAGTGTACCCCTGAACTGAGAAGTTAAAAAACATTTATTCTTTGAAAAATGACCACAGGATAGAGTATAATTTCTGGAAGTGGTTCTCACTGTCAGAATACAGAATATGAAAAATGGGAAACTACAACAATGTTGGACTCAACCTCAGAGAAAGAAATCGTATTGTGATACTAGCTCCATACTTCATTTTTCTGCTCTGAAAAAAAAAAATCCAAATGGTCCAAAGAAAGAAACAAGCAATAGAAAACATACAAATCAGGAAGAGAGCAGAATAGCGCATTTATCTTGGCTGTGGCAAGAAGGATCTCTTTCTGTATGTGAAGGAAATAGACAATGTCATTTTTCAAACATGACATTAAAAGACAATGGGGTTTTGCTGAGCAAAAAAGGATAAAACAAAATCAGAAAGGAAAGACAGTCAATGGCAAAAATAAAATTTACACTTAAATCTTTTGACATAATACACGGAAAATAAGAATTGCTACAGGCCAGGCGCGGTGGCTCACGGCTGTAATCCCGCACTTTGGGAGGCCGAGGCGGGTGGATCACAAGGTCAAGAGATCGAGACCATCCTGGCCAACATGGTGAAACCCCGCCTCTACTAAAAAGTACAAAAAATTAGCCGGGAGTGGTGGCGTGTGCCTGTAGTCCCAGCTACGCGGGAGGCTGAGGCAAGAGCATTGCTTGAAACCGGAAAACGGAAATTGCAGTGAGACGGGATCGTGCCACTGCACTCCAGCCTGGAGATGAAGCGAGACTCTGTCTCAAAAAAAAAAAAAAAAAGAATTGCTACAAATATAGCTCTTATAAATTGCTGTAATATACAAATTACTCTGATACAGATACAGAAAATATAACATTGTGATAGGTAAGATTCTAAAATGGCCCTTGTGGTAGATAGAAAAATGGGCCCCCAAAAGTCCATCTTCTCATCCTTAAAACCCAGGAACGTGTCATCTTAAGGGACTTGAGATGGGAAGAGTAGCCTGGATTATGCAGGTGGGACCAATATAATCA